TTCAAAATGCGGACTTGAAAGACCCTGACCCGAGTTGTGACACACCTTCCTGACCCACTGCGGTTATCTTATTAAAACATCTTTCGCAACACCAATAATACCTACTGTGCGAACGTTACAATACAACTCAAAACTAAACGTTTAATATGTTAATTTAAATGAAAGCGTATTAGTTGACAATATTTCAAAATTAGTGACCAAGGATATCGTGGAAATTTTTTATCTATCTGCAATGATTTGAATAAAGCGTTTCATAGACGAAGTAATCTTTTACAAATCGAAAGGTAGAAAAGAAAACCTTTTAGGACCATAACAGAGATTTTATAAAGCGAGAGAGAGTTCAAGAATTTAATTTAAGAAACGACATAAGGATTTCAGAAAACAAAGGATAGAGTTAAGTAGTTTGGTATAAATGGCAGATAAATATTACAAACCTTATAAATAGTATAGCATTTTCCATCTGCAGGCCAGTACAGCATTAGCCAACCTCGGGGGTGAGTAGCGCAAGGGTTGCGCTTGGCGTCCGCCCACGGTGGAGGCAGCACCGCCGCCTGCGAGCCACAGACTAATGCGGCGAACCATAGCCAAGCCGCCATTTTGTTTTGTCTATGCTCTATTTCCCGCCAAATGTCACAAGTTATTGATAACCCATCTTTTGAATTACCTTCACTTTAGTTATAAACACTTTTTGTCAGTCCTTCAGTAGGAATAAATACTACAATCTGGTGACTTTTTTAATTATTAGCACTGTTTATTTGTTTCTAGTTGTTTAACACTAAATATTTTAAATATCAAAACATTGTATTCAATTGTATTTTGTCACTGTCCAAATTATTGTGAATAATGGCTTGTAGTTAGTTAAAAAAGACTGAAAGATTTACATTCTAAGTAAGAAAAACGGTATTAAAATCAAGATAAAATATGCGCAGACCGTCTGGTTACGGCCCATTAAACTCTTATTTTTTCTCCGGCGTTTATCTAATACCAGTATAATGGTTAACTGTGCAGATTACCGCAGCTCTAACGGTGAACACTAGTTACCGTTCTATCTTACCGTCACAATGTCGAAACTATAATTAGTAACCCACTTAAGATGCGCAAATATAAAAACAATTTATTTTTATCACTAGCGTAATAAGATATATAATGATTGAATCTGGCAACTTATATTCTAATCGCTACTATTAAGTAAAATGATTATTAAGAAGAATACAAGCACTAGAAATCGTAAAATTGAATCATTCTGAAACGCAACATAACTTTGCTGAAGCTTTCTTAGAATCTTATCTGTAATCTTACCAGTTATCAAATATGGACATTTAAAAGAATTAAAACAATATAATTTCTTAATTATAAATTAATTACTATGTAAAGAAAAACATGCGAAAACTATTACAATTCCTCATTTATAATTCAAACGAGCTATAACACGTGTGTTTTGCATTTTAAATCAAATAAAAACATTTTTATGTGAAAATAAAGAATTCGTTTTGCTACATTATATTACGTAATTACAAAATTAGGCGCAAGTTCATTGCGAGCGTGCGGTACGGAAGTTACTCGTTTCGTCATCGTTCACTCTCGGAGCGGGCACGCCGCACCGCGCTGCGCCGCACACAGCAGTATATTACGTCAAACATATCGTGAGATAGATCACACAATCTTTTAAAAATGCCCTAGTGTTTCACTTCCCACGCTTGCTTAGTAATTAGTGTTTGGACACGGCTTTGTACCAATTGGACCAAAACTGGGATTTTTTTATATCATAAGGTGGCAATCGAGATCATCAAGAGACCACCTGAAACCGCCAAAATGGCTAAGCGACCGCTGCACATAGACATCCGTAATTGCAGATGCGTCGCCTACCCTTATCCGACAAAGGAGGAGACGCACATAAAGAGGATATTTCCCCTTCCTATGCATCTCCTCCACCTAAATATCCACGTTCCCTTCGTATCCTTTTCGTACAAGAAAAAGAGTGGGAAAGAAAGCGGACTGTAGCTGGGCCTCCGGCACCGGATAAAGGTAATTTGTGTTGCCAGCCGATGGTGTAGGCTAAGAAGAATAAGGGGGTTATTGAAACCGTCATTAATGTGGTAGAATTTGAAGTCTTGTTTTTAATAACTTTTTTTTTCCCTCGGGCAATATTTATTTTAAAGTTCGTAGGTTGTGTACATTAGAAGAATTAAAGTTTAAGAAGCGACTCATTTTATTTAAGTTTTATTGAAGTAAATGCAACAAAACACTTGAGGAGACTAAAACAAATCTCATAACGGGAGTAAAGAAATATAAAACAAATTCTCAAAGTAATTTAATGCAAGTGAATTGCAAAGACTCGACTCAAATAAAATTAAATCCGCAGTGAGAGGACGCGAGGCTGTAAAGCCAATTCTTTACCTCGTTTTAAATTCCAACTAAAACTGTGTTAAGACTTTTTTTCGAGTGGCAACAGTTAAATAATGGTTGTGCTCTTACAAAATAACAGTTGGATAATATCTTTTGTTATTTGAGACTTGGTGTTAATGACTTTGGCTTCTGTCCGTCGTTTTTATGGTGTGGCCTAGTTTAGTTTACTATGTGTACATATTTGGTCAAACTAATTTATAGTACACAAAAAAGTTTCGTTTCTAATAATGATGAAATAAAAGCCGGAGTGTGAATGAGTGCCGAAGGCCTAATTTAAGTCCCTTTCTCTTTACCACCCTTTTCTTATAAGGAGAGGATGGAAAGGGGAAGTGGATTTGACGGACGGTGGAGGAGATGGATAGGAAGGGGAAATATCATTTCATGTGCCTCTCCTCCTCTGTCGGACAAGGGTAGGCAACGCATCTGCAATTGCGGATGTCTATGGGCAGCAGTCGCTTCGCCATTTTGGCGGATTCAGGTGTCCGCTTGCTCGTTTGCCACCTTATGTTATAAAAAAAAAACAATTGCATACATAAATTGACAATAGTAGTAGAGGCACATATTGGTAAATTATGCTATTATAGTTTGTTGCAGAAATCAATGGCAACAGCCCGTTTGACAATAAAATGCCACCACAAAAGTCACTAAATGTTTTTTTTTAATAAGTTTCCTAAAATTTTAGCCTGAAAGTATATTACGTACAAGAGTCGTGTTACTTAATCGTAAAATAAGAGAAATAAACTTAAACACTATCATTGGGTAACATCAGCTAGTAAAGTGCACAATTGAAAACCAAAAAAATACTTGATGTTAACACTTTTATTCTTTTACTGTATATTACATTTTGTTACTCAATAAGTTTAGATTTTAATGCAGGCAGTTTTCAATATACCTTTTAAAATCGTAAGGTGAAACAATTAAAACTAGGGATACCATGTCTAAAAGTGGTAGAGTGACATTTGCTTACAGCTAGCATTTTTGTAGCTATAATAACAAGGTGATCAGAAGCCAAATGCTTATAAGCCAAGAAAATTCGAACTAAAACGTTAAAAAGATTCATCTTAACGTAATTAAAAGTTTTTTATTCAAGAAAGACATAAGCTGTGCATATATGTACAAAAATGTGTAAAGAATTCTGTTGACTTTTTACTACAGACTAAATAAACTCATATTTTTTTATTTTCAATGTACAATAGGAATATGAACTATTCATATATAATTTGTTCCTTACACATAAAGCATTTTAGACCTGTACGCACTATATACAGCTGTGCACAAAAACTTGTAACCGATTTAAAAAAGGGTTCTCTACCTGGTCTTCTTATCAGAAATTCACTATTAACGTGGCACTAAATTCATTAAATAAATAAAACCATTTAACTGCAAACTACATTTAACTAGATTTACAACTACAAACTGTATATTTGAATAAGTTTTTAACACAACAAACACATGAAAAAATAATTTAAGTTGACGATAAATCATAAATCTAATAAATCATATCAACAATCATATTGTTCATAGCTTTCTGAGGCTCAAAAAAGCTATACTGTTTGTAATAATCTGTATTATAAATATAAATATTTGTGCCCGCGAAAGGAACGAAAATTACGCGCGTAAATATCGTAATGGCGCGGGCCCCGCTGCCAACGCGCGTGCCGTCTCAACCAACACTGGCGCGCTTTGAGCTTTGACTCTAGTTGTAGAGTATTGAACATTACGTGTCGTGATAGACATTGCTTTTATTTATTTTTTTGGTTTTCCTAAATATAATCTTTAATATATTTTAACAAAGATAAATGTCAATCAATGTATTGTAGAATTCGCTTTGCGTTAATATTTAAAAATATATTTCTTCATTAATTAGTCTGGAATGATCACTCATTTTAATTACGATTTTATTCCAAGTATTTGCTATTAATAAGTTGTTAATTTTAGTTATCTCACACGTTAATTACTTTTAACAATAGATGGGAAAATATTAATCTCATTCTTTGAATGTACTCATAAGAAAACATTTAATTTAAATGAATTTGTTAGAGTTGATTTTAAAATACATCTCACTTTACGAACAATTTTTAATAATTCAATTTATTACTTAAATTCAAAATGGCGGTATTTAAAACTATTGAAGGCAACTGCACCATTTTGTAAAGAAATTCTTATAGCGATAGATATTATATCGTATACGTAATACTTCGTGTACACTTCACAAATCAAATATTAAACGTAGAGATTATGTTGATTTTGTTCATCAACATGTAAAGAAAAATGTTTTTTTTAGTCGCACGTTATATGCTCTTTGTGTGTTAAAGAAATGACGTCTATTTATGAACAGAATGTAAATATACCAAGAGACGATTACAATTAAGAAAACTGAAACAAATCATGGTAATACTTAATCTTTCGTTGTTGAAAATAATAATGATTCTATAGTTCTATATCTATACTATTAAAATAAAGCGTAAACACACACTTTTTTGTTGCCTAAGATGTCAGCAATTACAGCATATTTTTAAATAATTATTTTTTAATAAAAAGCCCTACACTTACTCAACGCTTTAGGCTATATATTTTCACGCCATTAAACATAGTACTTAATATTTTGGATAAAAACCCTAATGTGGGGAAGAGACAATAAGTTGCTGTCAACATCAAGGTTGCCATGGTTTGTCATCGTATCATGTCATTTTGACATTTGCAATTGATAATTTGACACATGTAAACAGTAAAATTCATAATTTTATGCTGATAATGTCGCACGGGAACAGCTAGTTTCTGATAAAAGTCCCTTCCGTCATCAATATATACTAGTAATATATACAGGTGGAGTAAGAACTGATAGGTGCATTGTACCGTTTATTCAAATCAGACGATAAGATCTAGAGACGGTCAGTCCATGGTCGACGTCCGCGATGCAACCAGCCAACTACGAGCTAACAAGCGCGGACGTCCCACGTCAATTATACAGACAAGCTTTATGAAGCAATCCTATAATCGAAACAGGAAACTGTACGGTGTTTTTATCTTTGATAAATGTTGTTTCAAATAAGCTCGTCGGGTCTTGACTTTGCTCTGAGGCAATTTTTTGCTACAAAGTAAACTTGAACTAAAATTCTTATATACTCCGATATTTCTGTACTTTATTATAACTTCGATAGTTATAAACAGACATAGAGTGGCTTATAGTTTTTAAGTTTAAATTTTGATTAAAGTTGTATAGTTTATCATCTTAAATTCTGAAATGGGAAAAATTCCGCATAAATAACTCGCATTCAATTTAAAGTATTTCAAGCGTATACTAATCGACCTGAGCTTTCGTAGTTCTAAATTCAAAATACAAACATAATCAGGCACCGTTAGAAATTAAAAAAAAATTGTAGCAGCGGTACGCTGACGAGGCTTTACGCGGTGTCGTAAGCGCGACTGTACCGTTAAACGAGGTTGATCGACCCTGATCGGCCTAGCGCACAAAAACCCACGCCTACAAGCTGCCGTGACTTTGTCTATTGTCCTTCTACTAATAAAAAAGAAATGACCTATATTACGTTCTATTTACAAAAATTACACTTTTGAAATGGTATTAGTGCTAGTGAAAAACAATTGCCTTCCAGATTGGAAGGCAATTGTTTTTGACACTTGACATTCTCATTCATTAATATGTCTCTTACATGATATGGGTATGCAGAGAGGCCGCTAGCCGATGATCTAGATGTAGGAGACTAGAATTAGGGTTGACAGCTAACACAAATATAGTCTTATTAGAAGTGAATTTCATATCTAATTACCATTTTTGCTAACTGTCTTTCCACTTTCAGTGACGCCCATGGATATATGCATCTTTAGTAAAAGACGTACTAAGTAACGGTCGATTACTGAAACGCGAATTAAAGTAACAGCATCTTATATGATAATCCTACGCTTAGAGTACACATTCCATAAAAACAGTCGATGTCCCTAGTCGACGCTTATTTAGAGATATATTAAAGATTCGTTTAATATTCGGCCATAATTATGTTATTATTAGTTCTAAGGAAAAAATGAACGAAAGTTGTAAAGTAACAATACATCTTGATACTACGAGTATTATTACATTAGTATCGAAATGTGTTAACATTTAAGTTGAACCCGACGGACCATAGTGAAACGTCTTCCGTCATGCAATTGTTAATTTACTAACAAAATATCACAGAGCAAACATGGCTATGTTACGTGATGAATAAAAAATTCAAATTACCGACTCCCCGCAGTTATGATTATCATATACGTGAATATACGGCCTTATAAGTATTGTACAATGAAATTGTTACAAGATAATATACATTATTTAAGTATAATATAAATTAAATACGGGTGGGCAACGCGCAACACGGCTTCTTGATTGTTCGTTGTGAATTTCTATTGAAGTCATTTAACCCGTTTGCTGCCTTAGGCGAAAAATCTGACTTCTACAATCTTTCATGAATTATGTATCCTTATCCATTGCATAATTTATATATCAAAAAACATATTTTATTACTTTTCTACGCATAATAACGAACATGTATTTCTTAGCTATACAGACAGTCGGCCACTGAGCCTAATAGTATTTAACAAAAACAACAGAACGTTTAGAAAATCGTCTTTAGAATAACAAGTGAATTACGTAGTAGCATTTTTTCTTTTTGTGTTCTGCCCTGTTCCAGTAACACAGTAACCATTATATTAATATTCAATTAACGCTAAACGCGATAATGTATTCTATTATATTATGTAATATTCCTTTAAAGGCGCTATGTTTATTATAATTTAAGTTAAAATAAACTGTAGAATGAAAAAAGTAACTATATGTTAAAAAATCATAACCCAGCATTTCTTTTTGTTAATATAAGCGAGTATTTATGCTGCAATCCTATGAAGATCAGCGAAGCGTCTTACATAAGCCATACTTTATAATTCCAGGCGCCATCTCCGGGTTTGCAAGCCGTGCCAACTCGCGTAAGCACCGTTGATTCATAAGCGAAATCCTTTAGTAACGTGGCTTTGTACAAAGCCTGCCTTTGCCTACTTCACGCTTTGAATAACGATTATTTTCTTGAGAAAATTGTTTTATGTGATATTTTCATAATGCATAACTTTTATTTAAGATCTTCTCTAAGATCAATACCCTCGTTTTCATTTTGACGATCGGAAATTTCTATTCATTTTTTTTACGAAAAATAAAAAACAACAATGTAAACGTATTTAAGAAAAATCCTGAAAAATAGATTACGTCAAAGATGCCAACAATTGGAATACTTGCCTTTGTCATTTAAATTTTAAATGCAGTTTCCACCTTACAAATAGTGGTTCGGCGATGTCGGATACAAGATACATAAAAGCCAAGCTTGCATTAGCATACAAGACAATGCAGACAGAACGTGTGGAGTCCGTTTCGCAAATGACTTGTTACATACTCTGTTGACTTATTACTATCAATTACCTAACTAAAATTATTTTGCAACGGTGTAGTTCGAAATGCCAATAATGTTAAATACTCAAATATCTGATACAGCGTTAGGAAACCTAGCGCTGCCTAAAAATAAACAGATATAAAAGTTTCTATATTGTAATTATAACGTGCAATCAGTATTAATCAGTTTTAGTAGATTTGCTGCAAGAGCTATGGTATCATGGTCCTTACATACGATTTTTATGCGAATGTTACATTCGTGTCATTCTGCTCTCTTTCCGTATAAAGTACGATGTTCTCCTTATCTTCTATTTGGATTTATTTATCTTTAAGCAATTTTTATGAAATATGTTCCACTTTTCATACAAAAATTACGTCATCATTAATGACCCATCAAATTCATATTATATAAAAAAAATTGCTTATTGTCTTTCTTTTTGGGTAAATTAATGTAACTACAAGAGGGTAACACCAAAACGACGACGTCATATTGACATTTACATATTGTTTTGGCAGTTGGCATATTTGACACCATTATTTTGTATTCAAGATTTGTACGATTTTTGTATAACTTTTTTGTTATATTACCTTGATGTATTAATGCAATAAAATACAATATCTCTTTTTAATGTAATGGATCCGAATAAAACAAAAAGTGCATCAGAAGGTATAGCAGTGAGTATATTTCTATTCATTTTAAAAGTGTTAAAACTGAATGTAACACAAATATTGCTATATTAGTACACGTTATTTTGTGTTATTGTCTTTATTGTCTTAATAATTATAAACACATGGGAACACTGGGAAATGTATTAAGAAAAATTATAGAATAACGTTTTCGTATAAATCCTAAATGGGTGGGTCCATCAGGTTTTTCCGAAGGTTACATCTCCCTTTAAATTATATTATTGAAAACAACAAGTTATACCTATCGAAATCTCTAGATCTTATATGCACTTGTGTATTACACAAGTACGAGAAAAGTAACCTATAAAACATTTTCAAAATGCTCTTTCTTCTTTTTACAATGTAGCATTAATTATTCTTTAATGTATTGGACAAAAATATACTAGAGAGATACTATATTATTAACATCTCTAATGTAATATTATATAGTATAATAGTCTTGTATGTAAAGAATACTTTGTGTATGATCAACAATTAAGATAGAGTTCATGCATCTGTCTTCTTAACTCTTCTAGTTGCCAATAATGAACTATTCATTTTTTCCAGCCAATGGGTATTACAGCACTGAATGAAACAGTGCTCAGCAACCAGCCAGAGTCAAGATATGAATGTCCTGTCTGTCTCAACTGGCTCCGAGATCCTGTCATTACAACCTGTGGTCATAAATTCTGCAAAAGTTGCATCACATCATGGCTACGGTAAGAACTGTCATGTTTCTTGATTTTCTCATAAGGTTTTCACTTAATTATCACAGATATCAGAAACAAATAGACCTGTCTTATCTAAAAAAGGTGATGTTCAATTTTTTTTGACACAGAAATGCTGATTTGATTTTAAAATCACCTGATTTATTCCTTGATTTTGTATGGTTTTCAATAGGAAATCTTTTTGAACATAATTGCTCTCTTAACAAATGGTAAATGATTTATGTTAATATAAGAATTCAAATCCAGTCATTGTCTATTTTAGACAATGGATAACAAATGCTTAGTGACCTTGGGTTATTTAGAAATCATGCAAATAAACATTTATTATTTACATTTGGAACCGTAAATATTTGTTTAAAATTTCAGGTATTATCATTTATTCATTACCTGAATGGATTTAACATTTTACTGCCTCATTCATACTTTAAACTGAAGATGGACTGGATTTTTACAAAATTACGAGTTTAAATTAATTTAGTGCTTTGGTGATTCGAAATTGAACTTTAGGACATGGTGTTTGGTTTACTTATTGTTTGTTTAACATGGAAAAGATATTCTCTCATGTGAGCTCTTTAATGGCAGTGGTACAAAGTCGACGGCCAATGTTAGCTGATGCTGTAGAAGTAGAGGTTCCTATAGATGATACAGGGTGTGTTTTGTGTAAATTTTGTAACTTTGGGCACTTTAAGAAATTTGGGTATTCCTAAAAGGCTTGCATATCTTAGATTCTGTGTGAGGAAATAAGGATGAGAGAAAATTGTCAAAAATTAACAATAATTATTGCTATTACAGGAATAGTGGCCACTGTCCGATTGACAACATCAACCTGAGTATGAAGGTGGATATCTTCCCTGACAATTACACCAAACGAGAGATACAAGAGCAGAGGATGTCTTGTCCGTTTGCAGCTAAAGGTATAGTTATAAAAAAAAATAAGTAAAACTAATTTGTTTTGTAAAACATATAACTAGACAAAAAGGGCGCCAGAGATTTGCGAATTACAGACTCACATAAGTCTATTGATCCATCTGAAGCTGGTAAAAAGGAGACGCTGTATATGTCTCGCGAGGAAAGCTAAAATCGGTTCTAATAAAGAGATATTTGTGTATCACATACCATTAAAATAATTATTTTAGCTGTCTGTAAATAAAATAACAATAAAAAAGCCTTTAATTCCATGCAATTTAAACAAATGTACAAAATTTAATATAACATGTCTAATTATTATTGTTGCTAGTGGAAAAATATAATTTAAAAAAAGCAGCCTTCTGTAAACTAATGCAATTGTTGGTCAAATGACAATTTCATTGAATTTTTAATTTATACAGTCAAGTGTTAGTAAAATAATTATAGTCAATTGAAATCTATCATTAATATTAGAAGCATTTATCTATTTATTGTTATCATAGCTTATGTATTTAGTATTTTATTGAATTTTTACAGTCAAATATTATTCAATTTGTAGTCTATCTGTAATATTAGTGGGTTTTTCTTTGTATTTGTGTAGGGTGCACAATGAAGGTGACCCCGCTGGACCTGGACGCGCACATCGCGGCGTGCGCGCACAACCAGCCGGACACGTCGGCGGCGCGCGCGCTGCCCTGCGCCTTCCGCGCCGTCGGCTGCACCGACACCTTCCTCTCGCAGGACGACATCAACAACCATCTGCAGAACGATCTACAGAAACATATGAGTGTGAGTTATCACAATCTAACTTACTTACTAATATTATAAACGAGCTGTTGCCCGCGACTTCGTCCGCGTGGTATTAGAAAACATACGAACTATATAAATTACAAAAGGCTACGTATCCCTCGGGAACCGGACATTTCTCGGGGATGAACCTTATCTCATGTTGACTCCAGACTTTGTTTTATATCTGTGCCAAATTTCAGTAAGTTATGTTGAACCGTTGCAGAATGATCGAATGTACATTAAAAAACTAAATTAATGAATCCCACGGGAACCGTAACTATTCCTGGGATAAAAAGTAACCTATGTGTTCTTCCAGACTATGCTCTAAACCTGTGCCAAATTTCATGGAGATCCGTTCAGCCGTTTAAGCTACAAACGCTAACGAACATCCATCCA